TATCCATCTTTGGCTTCCTGCACCAATCCAGCCAGGTTCAATAAACAGAGCCTTGCCTTTCTCCTGGAGACTCTGCAGTACTTTGTGTGGAACTCTCAGCATGAGGTCTCATCTACCTATTTGTTCCTGTCATTCCACACCCTACTCTCTTCCATTTTGCAGGGTTTGCACTCCTGTTTCTCATCTATCTGCAATGACAATTTGAAATACAGCCATCATGTGGAGCCTCATTCCTTACCTTCTTGGAAACAGTAAGTCGCACAGTTGAGCTCTTTTGCAGTCTCCTTGTTATGAAATACACAACACAGGAGGCTAGTTGGTCCAGTGCCATCCATTCAACTGCTACTAGTCAACTTGCGAGCTGCTCCCCCCCATCATCTTTTCAATTTGGTCAATTTTGCAAAGGGATTCCCCACCAGCCAACCATCCTGATAATATCCAGGTCTTGGTTTTAAATTATCTTTCTACTTTCCAAGTGGGAACAGACTGGCGAATTTTTGAATTCATGAGGGCAGGCAGGACAATGTCAGTAAGTCACATTCATTGAGAATTTGTGGTGGCACTTCACCTCCATTTTCCTTGTGCTTTGGCAGAAAAGATGCAAAATCACTGTCCACCTCCCCTCTCATCCCCACTCACCGTTATTGCTGCTGTTTTCCCCTGCTGGGTTAAGATTTTGAAAGGGGTGGAAATGGCTGCGATGACAGGCCAATAAGCAGGAGTACTGTCTCTTTGAACAAATGCAATCTCACAATTCCGCAATAAAGACATTGTAAAAAGAGCACAAATATCATTGGAGGTCACAGCAGGTTAACAGGCACAGGACACCAACAGGGGAGTAAATAAAACCGAAACAAGTGATACCAGTGAGTGTAACAAAAAGAAAAGGACTGGACATAAACTGGAAAGAGAAAGAGAGTGAGAGAAAGAGTGAAAGAAAAGTTCACTGTGTACCTATTGTCATTTCCATGTGTTATGCTTTTAGTGAAGACAACCCAGAGACAAACACAAAAGGGGAAAAAAAAGAAAAAAAATGTCAGAAGTTTAGTCCTTAGGATGCTAGATGCCATGTCAGTAATGCCGACTTGAGCAACAGTGGGTGGGAGGGTGGTGCTGGTGGTGGAGGAAAGGAGGGATGGGGTGGGGGCAAAATATAACCCTCCATCACATCTGAGTACAGACTGCCAATAAGCATTACGTGCAGTTTCCTCTGAGGCCAATAGAAATTCTGCAAAGACCTGGATGGTGAATTGGTTGGGGCATAGGACACACTGTCAGTGTCGGGTGAATCATCGGATGAAACTGAAGAGGAAGCTGGCCGTAAATATGTTGCAATCTCTTCCAATTGCTGCTGATGGGAACAGTCATCCTCTGGGAATGATTTAATCCACCATTCCGCGTTACACACTGAGTCAGTCACCATTACAATGCATGGTTCAACAGTGAATAATCCTTGCCCTGGTGAGGAAATGGCTACTTGATGCTGTTACACAGTTAAGTACCTGTAACTGGCAACTCCACACAGCTACACCATGATAATGTTTATCCTATTGAACAAACAAGAACCCTGTGCAATGGCACCGTGAGTAATCCTTAGCCCAGTTGGTCAATGGGAACACTGTATATTGGCATGGTAAGCAACCTCACCTTGCTGTTTCTTCCAGGTATCTGGAATTGAAGTTAGAAGGAAAGATTTATAAAGCTGACTTTGTTTTCTTGACGAAAGAATGAACTTTCAAGTTACCTAAACCGAGGTGAAGCTTTCCAAATTGCAAAGTGGTCCAGGACATTGTTCCCTACAGCCTTCAAACACCAGGACAAGAAAGTTAAAAGTAGAAAATAGGGAGTAGGAAGGGATGCTAGTGTTTTTATGCAAAAAGTAGGAGAATTGAGGAACATTTGAAAAGTCATTGAAACACACATTGGTAATTAGTGTTCAATTAGCATCTACAGATGTAACTTCAAAAAGAAAGGTTGGCAGAAATGGCAATGTGTGATCGTGGAAAAATGAACTAGCCCGTTTGATCAAATTGTTATTTTTGGCATTTAAGACTCATAACTTGATTGGAAATTTCAGGTGTAGTCTTTGCACAGCTGAATAAACAGATAAGCAGAGACTTCATGTAACCATAATGAGTAAATCCTGCCCTGATGATGAATCAAATCAGAAATAATGAGGAACTCTTATCCTGCTGAATTAACAAGAATTTTGCACAGATACAATGAGGAACCCTAACCTTGATGAATTGACAGGATTTTTACAGATACAGCAAAGAACCCTTATCCTGATGTATTAACAAGAATTTTGCAGATACAGTGAGGAACCTTTAACCTGCTGAATTAACATAAATTTCTCACAGATACGATAAGACACCTTTACCTTACTGAATTGACAGGAATTTTGCACAGACACAATGTGGAACCCCCTATCCTGTTGAAATTACAGAAATTCCACTCAGTTTTAGTAGGAAATCATTAATGAAAGTGTGAGGAACTCTAACCCTGATGAATAATCAGAAACTTCCCACAATAACTCAGTTAAAATATCTAACCGCCCGAATACAGAAGAACTCAACTCAATCACAGTGTGAGTAAATCCTGCTCAATAAAGAAGAGTTCCACACAATTACACTGTAAATAACCTCATCCTGCTGAACAAACAGATGTTCCCTGAAGTTATACAGTGAATAATGCTTATTGTACTTGGTAAAAAGGCACTGAATAGACAGGAACTTCTGCAATTACAAAAAGGGGAAAGATTTGGCTCCTACTAAAAAATTAATTAGTCAGGGTTTGGGGTGTCATAATCAAGAAATGATCGAGTAAAGCTTACAGTCTATCCTTATTTGTGACAAAGTGCAGGCTCAGCCTCAAAACTAATTGATATGTAAGGCAAATATGGTTGTCTGAGACTTACCACATTTATCAGTGATTAAAACGGTCAGTGACAGTGCTATCCAGTGGCACTTGCTCAGTAATAATGTGCTCATAGACACTTAGGTTGGGTTATGCCAGGGCAATTCATCTCTTGACCTCGAGAGGTGAGATGATAGTGACTGTTGTTGACATCAAGGCAGCATTGAAGCCAGTATAGCATTAGGGAGTGGTAGCAAAACTGTGGTCAATGTGAACTGGGGGAGAAATTCTTTGCTAGTTGGAGTCATACACAGCACAATGGAAGATGGTTGTCGTTGTTGGAGGTCAATCATCCCAGCTCCAGGATATCTCTGCAGGAGTTTCTCAGGATAGTATCCTAGGCCCAGGCATCTTCAACTGCTTCATTAATGACCATCATTACATCATAAAATTTGAAATGGGGATGTTTGCTGATGATTGCATAATATTCAGCACCGTTCGCAATCCCTCAGCTCCTGAAGCAGTCTGTATTGAGATGCAGCAAAATGTGGACGACATCCAGGTTTGAGTTGTCAAGTTATAAGTAACCTTTGCAAGTGTCAGGCAATGGCACAAATCCAACCCGAGAGAACCTAATAATTGCACCTTGACATTCAATGGCATCACAATTACTGAATCACCCACCATCAACATCCTTTGAGCAACTACTGACCAGAAATTGAACTGACCAGCACGGGTTTCCTCCAGGTGCTCCGGTTTCCTCCAACAGTCAAAAGATGTGCAGGTTAGGTAGATTGGCCATGCTAAATTGCCCAGTGTCCAGCAATGTGTAGGTTAGATGGGTTAGCTATGGGAAAAGCAGGGTTACAGGGATAGGGTAGAGGGAGTGGGTCAGGGTGGGATGTTCTTTGGAGACTCAGTGTGTACTCGATGAGCCAAATGGCCTACTTTCACACTGTGGGGATTCTATGATTCTATGATATAAATCCTGTGGCTACAAGTATGGTCAGAGGCTATGAATTCTATGGCAACTAACTCACCTCCTGTCTCCAGTGCCTATTGACTATCTACAAGGCACAAGACTATGAATGTAATACTTTACACATTCCTAGGAGCGTGTTGCAACAACAAAACTGAAGGAGTTCAATACCATTCATGGCAAAGCATGATTAACACCCCTTATAACTCTTTCAACATTTACTCCCTTCACAAACAATGCACAGGATTGTGTGCATCTATCAACATGCAAAAATACAATGCAGCAACTGACTCTGGCTCCTTTGACAGCACCTTTCAAAGGTGCGATCTCTACCACCTTGCAGGACAAGGGTAGCAGGTGTGTCGGATCAGGTCCTCTCCAAGCCACACACTGTCCGGACCTGGAATCATATTCAGTGTTCCTTCACTGCTGCAGGGTCAAAATCCTTGGATTCCCTTCTGGCCAGCACTATAGGTGTCCCTTCCACTGTAAGGACTGCAGTATTTCAAGAAGACAGCTCACTAAGGCGTTCTCGGGGGCAATTAGGATGGGCAAGTGCTAGCCTAGCCAGTGATGCCCACATCCTGTGAACTCCAAATGCAACACTGGATAATAGTTTTTGACTGGTCCAAGAGCAGTTGTCTCAACATATTTTGTACTCAAGGTGGCCCATTTTGTGAGTAGACCAAATTCCTTGCAATGACATAAAACCTTTCCACAGCATGACTTCCTGAAGTCTACTGCAATTGGAAGCACGGACAGTGCAATATTTTAAACACACGCATTGATCGCTCATACTCTCCTGTGAAAATAAAAACTGTACAAAATGAAGTAGCAGTGAAGAAGCTCCCATCGACACCCCCCAACCCCTCCCCAACTCCCACAGATCTTTAGCACTACGCCAGTCAATTTAACACAGCCATGGCAATGCTACATGCAGCCTTTGGCTTCCTCAGAGCTAATGGAATTGGGCCTCAAAACCGAATCAAACTGGTAATGCCTGGCAGGTCTTTGCAGAATGTGGTGAAGAGAGGAAAAAGTGAAAGGAAACAAACAATCCAAATAAAAGAAGATTAAATCAAAGAAGTGCGAAGGTTTCAATGGGATTTCAATGCCTGAAAACTGTTGGGAAATAAATGCTTTAAGGATTTAAAACAAAAAATACCTAGGCATATCCGAATCAAGAAATTGCCTGCAAAAACACAAAAACAATACCTTGTTAGTAGACTCAATAAAGTATTGAAGGTGATGGTAACATCATAAAGCAAAGCATGTATGGAGGCTTCACGCTTCAGCAGACCCTGAGCACTATAACACCGCAAAGCTATGCTCTATGAGATAGAAGGTCACTAATATTCATTAAGCAACTTTATTTGGGACCATCTTACAGAATATTTAAAGGGCCTTGTCTTTTCTTTTTGGGAAAACAATGTTCCAATTTTCTGACAATTAACACAAGTGTTATCACAACTCTTCACAATAGGTGGGTGTGATCTCAGCACTAGGCTGCTTGTGCCATTCCCTCTTGCACTACTGCAGAGTTCATCCTCCAGTAGAGAATCCGCCTGAGGATGACTGTTTTAAAAATGGAATCTACACTTTTCTGTTGAACTTAAATCAGAAACTATAGGGTGGTAGATGGGTGGCAAAGTTTAGACTTGCATAACTTTGTGTTAGCCATTATTTTCTGCGTGAAAATGTGAACAGGAGGCAGGAGAGGGCAGCCCAGGATGTGTGGACAGGAGTTTGTGTGTGACTGCTAGGTTGCTGAAGTAGATTTTAAGAACTGATTTCTACATCCCAAGGGACAAGGAAATGTAGGGCTCTTAACTTACCAATTATGCTGATCGACCCACATTATAAAAGTACTTACTGGAAAGCTGGCCTGTTAATGGTCTGGGAAAACACACTGTTGTGCCTGACCAATCATAACTAATATTTTGTTTAGGTGTGGCAGCTATTTTCCTGGACATGATGTTGTCTAAATCTGGTTGGTATCTGCTTACCACTGCTGGACCGCAGTAAGATTGTCTGCCCTTTGATCTCCTTTGGGCAGAATATTTTCCAAACCATACTATTCTGGTGAGAACCTACAAGGTCAACTTGCTTATGGATGTTTCAGTCATTCTGAGGTGTTTAGTGACCTTCTAAGTCTGTGGCAGGAGTAATGTCCATAGGTTGCATGTGACAGGGATGAAGCAGGAGTTGACTTTGACCTTTCACCTTTTAGTGCATTAGCATGTTTGCTGTAGCTGCTATTATGAGAAAAGCAATCTAAAGTAGCACACTAACACACTCACAGGCACCTGCACACAATCTCAAGTTCACACCTGTGCTCCCTTCCATACATTCTTTCTCCAAACAATTCTTGTCTCAGCTACACAGGCTCACTCATATTAGGCCACACTCATACACAGGCTCACTCATACCCCAACACACACATTCATACTCATCCACACACTCACTTGTACTAATTCAGACTTAGAAACAAACTTGGATTCGCGTACATCAAATATAAACACACATGTTTTTATATTCATTCAAACTCACTCAATACACATAACCAACATTCTCTCACACAAACCAAATCAATCAATTTTATAATTATGGATGTTATCCTTGGTTACAAGCCTGACCTTTGTCATGTGTATAAAAAAGGGTTAGGAAAACAGCCAACTCAATTATCTCTGGAAAGAGCCCTTCCGATTGTTACTGCGTCATGTTGCTCATCTATAATTTACTTGAACCTACTTTTTCCTCATTTCCCTAGGTTCATACCTTTTATGCATTCTTTTCATTAACCTATTTAAGCTGCATTTCCTGGGTATCAGGAAATCCTGCAGGTGGAGGATGGTAGGAAATAACCTATGTTGTTTTATGGCACTGCTTGTGGGCCAGGACCAGCAGCAAAGTTTCCTTTCTGCCCTGTGATCATCCTTTCACCCATCCACCTCCATATTCCCCTAACTTCACACTCTTCCACTTGACAACAAGTACCCCAGCCTTACTTGCTCCCGAATCCTCCCCCTCAACATAAACATAATCTCTCTTCACCAAACCCAAATATGGAAGTGATTCCTCCCTCCTGACTGTGATCTTTGCCTGTATCAAAGAGATTTCTCTCACAGACTATGATCTGAACCCTCATCGGCAAGGTTGCGTACTGTATACCTCTCCCCTCCCTTACTCCCACTGCCCAGAAAAGAAACCTCTCCTGGCCATGATCACTTGCCCCCTCCCTTTCCTCTCTCTGCTCCTTAGCTGTCGCCTTGTGTCAGTTCTCCTGCAGAACAGATGGGCGGCCTATTAATCAGATTTGCTGGTGGGTGGGACACATAGTGAGAAAATGTAAAAGGTGTCCTGCAGACAATTTTAGAAGAGCATCTAGGGAGCCTGTTCTCCTACCACAGACCCATCCAGCTTCCCCATAAGTATCAGGTCCCACCTGTCTACTGCTAATAAACTGTACAACCCAATACCAGAATGCAAAAGGACAGTGTCTGACCCACTGTCCCAGCCAGTCACAGAGTGTGAAAGGACAGTGTCTGACCCACTGTCCCAGCCAGTCCCAGAGTTTGAAAGGACAGCGTCTGACCTACTGTCCTAGCCAGTCCCAGAGTGTGAAAGGACAGTGTCTGACCCACTGTCCCAGCCAGTCCCAGAGTGTGAAAGAACAGTGTCTGACCCACTGATTCTGACTCCACCTTTTGAATGCTCCTAGCAATGACCTCCTTTATGCTCGGAACAAGCCTGGCATAAAAGCAATACCTCCTTCAGTTCAGTTACTACTCATTATTTTTACTCTCATGTACTGGGTGTGGGGAAGTGGTCACAATGTTCTGTGAAACCTCCAAAGAATGAGAAATAATGAACAATATTCAGAAGTTCTTGAGGTACATTTTCAGAAAGGGAAAGAGAGGAAAACAGATAATATCACTGCAATGAAAATGACATTTACTGGTACTTCCTTAATGATTCTGGAGTAAGGGAGGGGAGAGGCATACAGTACGCAACCTTGTCGATAAGGGTTCAGATCATAGAGTCTACAAAATCAATGGAATGATTTAGCTCTTCCCACTGAATATAGCTATGCTGCTGCAAAGCAACATGAATCTCTCTCACAGACTCTACTATTATTCTGTAGGGAGGTTATGCTTGGCCTGGTGCTTGTCACCGTCTTTCCTTGTCCCTCAAGCTGTGAGAAGGACATGTCCAGTTACTGGGACACAGCAAAGAGATTCAAATCTCAGTGAGTATTTTTGAAAAAATTAATCTGCCAGGAGTGGGAAGGGGGTCCTTTTCATTCAAGTGGGAACTGACTTGCGGAACATGTTAGCATGGAAAGGTACTGTAGGAGCGGCATAGATTAGGATCAAGAGACAATTTAACGATGGAAAGAAAAGATTGAATTGTATGATGACAATGCGGACTAAATCGGTGGAATAAACTGAACTTGGTGCCTCGAGATTTTCCTGTGTGGTAGTGGTGACAGGGATGGCAATACTTACATTGTAGTTGTTGATATGATTTGGTGGTGTTAATTGTTATTTCTGCTGCCCTAATCCCACCACCTTGTTTCCATCACCTTCTGTATGATTGGTGAAATAACAACGCTGGTTTTTAAAACACCTCAAAAGGAAGAAAAGCACATTCCACCTTTTTCAAAAGCCAATGAAAACTAAGTCCACTAAATGCAGGATAATAGACAGCATCCAGCCAACTATTAAATAGCAAACCACTCAAAGAGATTAAATTACAAAACGACAAGAAGCAGCAAAGGTAAGGCATAAGATGATAACAATTCAGATTAAACTATGGTTTGAACTCCATTTATAGCACTAATTATTTTGTGTATTAAGTAGCATTGAGTTTAAATGGTTTCACACTCTCACTTTCATGCAGCGTATGGATCTCTGTTCACAATGTGAAGTTATAATCAATTGAAGGATATAGCACTCTGTGGAGAGAAAGCAGGATTCTCTATCCCATCCCTCTTAAGTCAGGAATAGCATGGGTCTGGCCTCAGGTTTTCTGTTATTCCAAACACATGCTGTACCCAACACTGGAGCGTTTAATGGAACAATGTCAATGGGAGCTTCACCCTGTCACTAATCTGTGACTTATCTCACTTGGGAGTGTTTGATGTAATAGTGTACAGGCAACTTCATATCTAATCTGTGTTGTACATGATCTAAGAATTGGGGAGTATTAGGGGAAGATTTTTTCTGTATATAACTTATGATGGACTGGACCTGGAGTTACTTACTAGAATAGTGTAGAGCAAGCATTAACCTGCTGCTAATCTAGGCTGTACCTAACTTGCAAGTGGTTTCGGGGGGACTTAGAGGAAGCTGTTCTCTGCACCTAACCTGTGGTGTACCTGAACTGGAAATGTCTGTGGCAACAGTGAAGAAGTAGCTTGACTTGACCTGTTTTGTACCTCAGAGAACTATTCATTGTCAGGGCAGTTTTTGCTGAATTAAAAAGGCAAAATTGTGCTGGAAGCAGCTAAGAATTGAAATATTCTGCACTCCTGAATAAATAAGAAACAGTTGTGGAATAGGAATCTGAAAATGAGAGTACTGAGAATTTAGAGGAGAGATCTGGAAATCATTTAAAAATATTAACAAAACATACTATGCAGTTTGCAGTTCATAAAAACTAAGCAGTATCAAAGTGGGCACAAGTGATTCTGCTGTTTAATACATACCGATCCTCCAGGGTTGGGTGTGTGTAGCCAGCAGTTAGGATATTCAGGGACAGGATGTTGGGATCAATGACAGAATCATCTGACTCTGGTGTATTCCGGATCCGACCTATCGATAGAGACAATTCAAAACTCTTTACTGAATCTAACAACATTCAAGAAATCTGATGCCATCTGAGACAAATGATCCCGTATGATTGACACTCTATGCGTCACCTTCCACATTCACTCCCTTTATCACCCATGCACAGTGGCAGCACCATCTACAAAATGCTTCTTAAGTGAGTTGAGGGTTTCTGCCACAACCAATAAACCAGGTAGTGAATTCCAGACACTCAGTACCATCTGGGTGAAGATGTTTTTCCTTATGTTCTCTCTAATCCTCATACCAATCACTTTAAATTTGTGTCCCCTGGTAATTGACACTTTTTCGAGGTGAAACAGGTCTTCCCTGTCCATTCTCTCCAAACCCCTTGTTACTTTGTACACTTCAATTAAATCACCCTTCAGCCTTCTCTGTTCGAAGGAAAGTAGCCCTAGCCTATCCAATCTTTCTTCATACTTACAATTTTCAAAGCCTGGCAGTATTCTTGTAAAGAAAACAAAAAAAAATGCTGGAGTTCTCAATGGATCAGGCAGCATCCATGGATAAAAAGCAAGTTAATGTTTTGAGTCTAGATGACTCTTCACCAGACTACTGATGTAAATCTCTTCTGTACTCTCTCCAGAGCAATAATGTCCTTCCTGTAATGTGGTGACCAAAAATACACAAAACTGGTCTAAACACTGTCTATTTTGTTCTAGCATTGTATCCTTCTTTTGCACTCAATACCTTGCCCAATGAAGGGAAACATCCTATATGCCTTCTTTATCACCTTAACTACCTATCCTGCCACCTTCAGGGACCTGTGGGCACGCATTCAAAGGTCTCTCACTTCCTCTATATCTCCAAATGCCCTACAGTTTATTGTGTATTCCTTGCCCCCCTCAAATGTATAAGCTCACACTTCTCTGGATTGAATTCAATTTGCAACTTTCCCACCCACTCAACCAAATCATTAACAGTACACTGGTTGACAGCCATTCTCTTCACTATCAACCATACGTCCAATTTTTGTACTGCCTGCAAATTTCCCAATTATGCCTACCAAGTTAATCACATCACTTCAACTCAGCTTTGATAGTGGGGGATTAGTGCTAAATACACCTTCCTTTAGAAATCAAACAAATCCGTTGCTAGCCTTTCCCATGGCCTTTTCATAAATCTTGATGAAATCACTGGCTGTATAGGTATTTGGTTGTGTATGGCACATGTTTGAAAAGTAATGTGACACATTTCTCAAAATGTACGACCACCACACACATTGCCGCACTCAGCTCTGCACTTTATGACACCTTGAGAGCCTCTGTAGAGTTTATACAGGATTTCTCTTTGCATTAAACATAGTTATACACCTATCAATTTTCCACTGTTGTGTTGTTTCTGTTCATGGTACCTTTTCAGCACTTGGTCTGCTGGATTATATTTCGACCACCTTTTGGCCACTCCTTGTGAGCTGCACAACTTTATCAGAGTTTTCCTTCAGTTGCTGGAGAAGTGTTGATTACTGCCATAGGATAAGATTCTTTTCTGCCAAATGCAATGCTGCTCTCAAGCAGGTATCTGCCATCATTTGCGTCTGACTATTACATACTTGTATCTCGTCAGCCTTATCCTGAATCTTTATACAAATTGAGGCATGTTTGAGATTTGTTTCAGTTCCCCCAAAAAAATGGCCAAAGGTTTATGGTTCATTTTGACCTGGAATTTTGGTCCCATGAGGTTGTTTTTTCATAACCCCATGTAACTGCTAATATTTCCTTCTCTATGATTGTGTTCCTCTGTTCAGTTCCCATCAATGCTCTCTACAGGTTTATGAGTTCCATTGGTTTGCACTTGATTAAGAACTGCCCCTAGCCCTGTGAATGAAGCATCCACAATCACTATAGTGAATAAACCTACCTGGAATGTAATTTGCTAGACAGTTAGTAGAAAGTAGCTTCTCCTTAATCATTATAAAAGCTGATGCTGCTCTGACTTCAATATTACCGCTGGCCTTTCTTCAGAAGATTAATTGTTGGTCCAGTAGGAGATAAGTTTCTGATGTGATTCATTGTGCTTAAGAAGTACTGTCTACACATTTCCGCACTGGAAATTCATTGATAGCACCCTTCTTCCTCAGATCCATTGCTTTACCTTTATATTGAATAATGTACCCTAGGAATGTAACCATTGCTCTTGAGAATAGCACTTTGTCATTTAGTGAAAGGCCTGCATTCTGTGGTGTCTTTGACACGTTTCTGTTCCTCTGGTCAGGTTCTTTCCTTGTTTTGCTATGTGTGAGGATGACAGACAAATGGCAAATGGTTTGCTATTTCCCTTCCAGGATTGTAGATCTTGTCCTTCAGAACATCTCTGGCACAGACATGATCCCAAATGCTAGATGTTTGAAGTAACACCGTCCAAATGATGTAAATATAAGTTTACAAGAATGATACCTGGACTTCAAGGGTTAGGTTATGAGGAGAGATTAAAAAATTAGGTCTGTTTTCTCCAGAATTTAAAGGTTTAAGTGGTGATCTGATCAAAGTCTTCAAGATATTAACAGGGAAAGACGGGATGGATAAAGGTAAACTATTTCCACTGATGGGAATTCTAGAACTAGGCAGCATAGTCCGAGAATTAGGGGCCAGACCATTCAGGAGAGATGTCAGGAAGCAGTTCAACACACAAAGTGTGGTAGAGGTTTGGAATTCTCTTCCACGCACAGCAGTGGATGATGGATCAGTGGTTAATTTTAAATTTGAGATCGATACATTTTTTTTCAGTGAAGATATTAAGGGATATGGGCCAAAGGCAGGTATATGGAGTTAGGACATAGATCAGCCATGATATTGTTGAATGGTGAAACAGGCTTGAGGAACTGAAAGGCATACTACTGTTCCTATGTTCTGAAGTATAGTCAGCATTGTTGACTTTTGGTGTAAGGGTATCTATCAAAACCTACAGTGCCAATCAGTTTCAGAAAAAGCTTGCTTGTTGCTAATTTTGTCATGCTATCACCAACAGATGAAATAGGATGGACTTTTCCCTCTGAATCTTTTGTTTTATTGGGTGACACACACAACATGTTAGTTCTCCATTTGCCTTTGTCAATAGTTATTATCTCAGAGCACCATTGTATCCCTTCTGTCACTGACAATATGACCCCTACTTTCAATCATGAAGTCCAATTGAAATTTTAATTTTCCCATTAAAGGATGAGGACATTTCTGAGAGTGTACAAGCTGATAGGTTTAGCATCTTTTTGGAAAAAAATGAGAAAATCTAGATTCAATTTACCTTAACTTTTAAATAGCATTGGAAATTCTTGCTGAAATACTTTCTAACTTCATTCTGAAGTACCTTTCCCTTAGGGGCCTAGATGAATAAATCAGCTCCTCAGTAAGATATAATATTTCACTGACATTTCATCCTCCGTGACTAAACTGCATGGTTATCTGCCTACACAACTGAAGATCTATTTCTCCTGGACTTTGGAGCTTTATGTTTACTGGTCTGTCTGTCTTAGACTTCAATCCTTGCAAACTCTCTGCCCAGTATTGAAACTGTTGTTCTTGTGTTGAGTTTAAACTCTGTTTCAAAGACCTTCAAGCCCATAGCCCAGAATCTGCTTTGACTCTCTTTGACTTGCCCTAAAATACTTTTTGTTCTGAATCTTTAAATTTTTGAGCTACTTCCGTGTTGCATTTCCCTACAAATTTTGCCTTTTCCAGTATCTTTGTTTTTGAGGTAGTGAAAATGCTTTTAACTTATAATATTTCCTAATGTATCTCAGCTGACCCTACTTATAGCACTCAGCTGCCCTGCTGTAGATTCATTGTGCTTGTGATTCTGTTTAGTACCATGTTTTGTACCATCTAATATGGTTGATGATGTTAATTTCTGTTCTCTTGGAACCATGCTAGGCTTTGGGAGGGTGAGGACTATGTCAGAAGAACCCCCTTGGTGTTTACTGACACAATTCTGACCGATGCTGTGAACTGTTTCTGCCTGGGAAGTGAATTGGATTTCCTGTTTCAATGTTAAATCCTCTTTGGACTGAAGAAAGGCTGATAACTTCTCATCCCTCACACTGACTGTAATCTCTAATTAATTCATCTCTCTGTACTTGCAACATGCTACTAGAAATGATAAAAATCCAATAAAAGGGCTTCTATTGATTCCACATAATGCTATCATTGCTGATTAAATCTCATTCTTTTCCACCCAGTGCTAAAGTTGTGCATCAAATGCTTTAATCAATGCATCATACTCCAGAAACTGCTGCTTCCAGAGTTCCCACTTGTGGATCCTTTCTGGATCTTCTGCATTAACAGGTCCACAGAGGATGCCATATCCCTAGCTCTGCACTCATCCCTGGAACATCTAGACAACAAAGACACCTACATCAGACTCCTGCTTATTGACTACAGCTCTGCCTTCAAAACCATTATTCTCTCTGGACCGCTCTTAAAAATGAGTGACCTTGATCTCGGCTCCATCCTCTGCAATTGGATCCTCAGCTTTCTGACCCATAGGCCGCAATCAGTGAGGATAGGTAACTGCACCTCCTCCACAATCACACTCAATACTGGAGATCCCCAAGGATGTGTCCTCAGCCCCGTACTGTACTCCCTGTACACCTATGACTGTGTTGCCGACTTCCAAATGAACGCCAGCTACAAGTTCATTGACAACACCACTGTAGTGGGACGGATATCTAATAATGACAAGTTAAAATACCGAAGGTAGATAGAGGGCTTGGTCACATGGTGCAATGAAAACAATCTGCTTCTCAATGTCAGCAAAACTAAAGAACTGATCATCGACTTGAGAAAGAAAGGTGGATAACACACCCCCATCTACATGAACAGAACTGAGGTTGAGAGAGTGAAGAGCATCAAGTTCCTCAGAGTGACGATAACCGACGACCTGTCCTGGACTTCCCGCGTAAATGCAACAGTCAAGAAGGCACAACAACGCCTCCTCTTCCTCAGGCAACTCAGGAAATTTGGCATGTCCATAAGGTCCCTCACCAACTTCCACAGATGCACCACTGAAAGCATACTGTCCGGGTGCATAATGGCCTGGTGTGGCAACTGCTCTGCCCAGGATCGTAAGAAACTACAGAAGGTTGTGAACACAGCCCAGACCATGATGGAAGCCAACCTTCCATCCATGGACTCCATTTACATGGCTCGCTGCTGTGGAAAAGTGGCCACCATCATCAAAAACCCATCGTACCCTGATAATGATCTCCTACAACCTCTTCCATCAGGTAGAAGATACAGAAGCCTGAACACACGCACAGACAGGTTCAGGAACAGCTTCTTTCTGGCTATGATCAGACTGTCGAATGGACTCTAGCCTCAAATAATGTAACCTGAAATGTAACCTGTATGCCTCTAGGTCTTTTTGATCTGTACATCCTTTGCTTACTGTTATCTGTCTGTACCACTCATAAACAAAACTTTTTAATGCATTTCAGTAGCATGACAATAAAATCAATCAATCATCAATCAATTATGAAATGGTTGAAACATTAACAAAGGCTCTACTGGAGCTGCCATCTCTATGGACTACTATATTTATCACTGACCTGGTTGAGTTCTTGCGGTTTTCCTTCTTCTTGTTGAAGAATTCCTACCAAGAGTTTTACCACTCCAGACTATTGACAGCTTGTGGCCAGGCTTCAAAGTCTTCCCAGATTCTTTATCCATCCTTTATCCATTTCTTTCTGACCTGTAGCCCTTTAATCGAAGTCTTTGGAGGTTTTTTTTCTCTCCCTTTGAAATGTTTTTCTTTCCCAGCTTTTCTCTTGAAGTCTTCTGAGACGTTGCCCTGCTCTTCGGAGGCATCCTGCTTTATTTCTCAGCTGCAAAATGCTTCCAAGTTCCTCACCTATCTTCAGAGTCTTCACTTTTCAGCTGTGTCCTTTTGGACTTTGGTCTAACTTCAGATTCTGGATCTGGAGGTTTTGTTTGTTACTTGTAACGAGGTCAGCTAGGTGGACCTCATTGAATAGGAGTCCCCTGATTGGGGCTATTAATATGGTCCAATCAGGGAGCCCTGGCTGACAGATATAAACAGGAGTGTCAGAGGTTCTGTTCACTCTGAGAGCTGGCTCTGAGGAAGCCAGACCAGTGTCAAGTAGTATGCACGTGTAAATAAAGGGTGACTTGGTGATAAGATACCGGCGTCTGTGGAGTTATTTCAGCTGCTACCATGCATTTATCTTGTGCTTTAGGCCAGTCCTGCTACCTGCACAGTGCGATATCAGTCTGAGTATCTCTTGGTGGTAGTTGTCTGCATCTAGTCTGTCCTGAGGTTGTTTGAACATTATCTCTAAATAAGGTTCTTTAACTCCTTATGTCCTATAAAATTAATCTATTTACATAAGTTTTCAAGTACTATACACTAGAAGGTAAATGTCTTTGAATAGAGTCCAAGTCCACACTTTTAGCGAGAGCTTTATTTCAATAACCAGACTTCACAAAACTGACTACCATTGATAACCAGCTCCCTATGTTTACACAACCAATTTTCCTCCAATTAATTCTTTATAAATTTATTCATCACCTATCCCTTTTGTTTCATTAGGATTCAGCATTCCTTCAGACTGATTAGATGATAACATCAAGTACAGCTCTCTAGTGTAGTGCCTCAGACCTTTCCCTTCACATGCTCACGAATGTCAGAGACATGTGAACAGTTACCACCAACATGATTTACATGAATCTCATTATGTCGCACTATATCATTTACCCTCCACAGCTGATCAGAAAGATTGATGGATTTCTAATTGTACCATTTCTGCTTTGACAGCGTAGGAATGGGGATGGAAATTTACAATGGGTCAGTTGGTGGAAACCTCATTGTAATGCCAGAGCTTGAAATAGAATGGTGGCCTCCACCAGTGAGTGGCTGTTGACAAACATTAAGCCTGCAATTTCATCTTTTCACCACGGACCTGGAACCCACTCCCTTTCTTAGGATGCTTTATTGATGCTGGCCCACAGGGGCCATTTCCCATCAGCTATTGATCCTTTGAAAATTGAAATTGTAGTGAATGAACAATGCTGCAGCTTCTGGGTTTTTTTTTTGAAACATCATCGTAGGGTATACAAACAGAAACAGTGACATCAATTCATTTTCCACAGACTTACCAACCACCAATTCTCGCACTTCCTTCCAACGTATGTCATTTCCTGTCTCATGTACAATGGTAATTGTAATCCGTCTCTGAATTCCCTATCAAAATCCAAAAATAAAGACCTTTATCAGGAACCAGTCTCACATAATTGCAATACTACGTGAGGAGAGACTGATCTAAGACATTCTCCAACATTACTGGGGCCCGTGTACAAAAATTCAAGTTGTCAATGGAGGGACCATATCAAAAGAATCTCTAGCTGTCCTTCAAGGTACTTGAAGTGCTACATCTATGTTGAAGCTTTGCTGAGTAAAACAGTTCTGGTCACCCTGCTATAGGAAGGATATTATTAAATTGAGAAGGGTGTAGAAAGGGTTTATAAGGATATTACCAGGACCAGAAGATTTGAGTTATAATGAAAAGGTAAGATAGGGTGGGACTTTTTTCCACTGGACCATAGGAAGTTAAGGGTCAACTTATAGAGGTTTATAAAATCATGAGGGGCAGAGATAAGGTGAATAGCGAAGGTATTTTCCCTAGAGTAGAGGAGTTCAAAACCAGGGGGCATAATTTTAAAGTGACAGGAGAAAGATTTAAAAAGGACCTGAGGGAGAACATTTTCATACAGAGGGTGGTTCATATGTAGAATGTTTTGGCAGAGGAAACAGTCGATGCAGGTGCAGTTACAACATTTAAAAGATATTTGTACAGGCACATGAATGAGAAAAGTTGAGAGGGATTTGTGCCAAGCAGAGGTAAATGGGACTAGTTTAGTTTGGGAAACCTAGTCGGCATGGACAAGGTGGACCAAAGGGTCTGTTTAGAACATAGAACATAGAACAGTACAGCACAGTACAGGCCCTTTGGCCCAGGATGTTGTGCCAATCTATTTTCCTACTCTAAGATCAAACTACCCTGCATACCCTACATTTTACTATCATCCATGTGCCTATCCAAGAGTCGCTTAAATGTTTGCGTGCTGTGTGACTCTATGAGTCTTTGAAAGATTAGGACAACCAGAGATAGTTTCGATTGCAAAGTGATGCAATGCTATTTGTTACAATGTTATGATGTCATTGTATTAATAAACACTTATGGTCCACCTGTGCTTCCTGAACTTTTTCCCGGTGTGATCCCACTTTGGGCTTGACTATTGCCATTGACCCCTCAGTGAGGGAACTGAGGGTCAGGGAAGGGGAGCTGCTGGAACCTGCAAGTCCATGCAGACTTCTAAAACCTTACCTTTCTCACTGGCATATTTTGGTGCAGGAATCAGGACTCAAACATTAGTCCCTTAGATTATGTACACCATTAAAAAACAGCAAGGATTTAAAAGACTTCCCAGCTGTGAACACTCAGTCAAAGGTCCAAGGCAACTATTGCTGCCTATCACAATCACAGAAACTCACCTTGTGACCCCGCTCAGGGGTACATTATGAAACTTGGAGACAGCAGTCAGCACTTTGGTCCACAGCATGTATTGTCATTGGATAAATCACTGAACTACGGGCTCAAATTAGTAAAATTTAGCCTCTAAATATCAGAATGCATGCAAGGATGGTTGTTAGTTAATCTTCTGAAGCTACTGAAATCCAGAAGCTCCTATTATTAAGATATGGCTGTCATGAGGTTATAGTCATCTTGTTTCTCTCTCAATAATATAACTCTCATTTACTACAGTACACAAAGTCAATGCGTCCAATGAACTTCCTTTCACACTATGCATGATTGTTGATACATCATGGGACCAAATCCACATTGCACCTTTCATTTATCCTACATTACTGTTCATCAACATGGTGAGCGTACTTTGCAGCGTGGTCACAGGTAGCAGCAATAATAAAGATGGATCTGCCCAGGGAGAGGGATGAGGAGAAGCATGATCAACTTAACTAACTAGCACCTTGCACTCCTCTCAAATCCCACTGCAGCGAGGATGTCGGAAAGATGAGTTTGTAGGATGATGCCTCTAGAGCCATAGAGATGTATAGCACGGAAATAGACCCTTTGATCCAACTCATCCACACCACCCAGAAATCCTAAATTAAGCTAGTCCCATTTGCCAACATCTTGGCCCATATCCCTCTAACCTCTTCCTATTCATGTACCCATCCAGATGCCTTTTAAATGTTGTAATTTTACCAGCCTCCAATACTTCTTCTGGCAGCTTATTCCATACAGGCACCATTCTCTGCGTGAAAAATTACCCCTTAAGTACCTTTTAAATCTTTCCCCTCTCATCTCAAACCAATGCCCTCTAGTTTTGGACTCCTGTACCCTGGGGAAAAGACCTTGGCTGTTCACGCTTGAGCTTGGAACAAGACCGGAGGACAGAGAGCATTGATCGTCAAATCTGGGAACGATGATGGGTTGGAAAGGAGAGAGTGAGAAAGAGAGATAGAAACCAAAGGCTACAAGTCAGAAGGGAATATTTATCTGACAAGTTTGCCCCACTGCTCTCTGGGAATGTGTGAGGGGCTAGAACAATTTTAATGCTTAGATGGGGTTTTATTTAGGGAATATTGCAAAACAGAGGAGATCCATTCACACTATATTTCTGTTTAACATTATTGTATTCTTTGATAGTGAAAAGTATAGCCACTTTCCTGGACTTATAGGACACACAGGCCACTGAGAAGATCTTGAGCTATGTTATGTCTGACAGAATATGCAAGGCGTGTGGTAAACATTGGTCTTGAATTTTACAGAAAGTTGAGACTTGTTGAAAGGGAGCTATGTAAACGAACAAATCAATTTCTTTAAAGGAAGCTTTGACAACAACACAGATGTGAGCTCTAATTGTCTGCAAATTGGTTACATTGCAGTACCTGGTGCAGTAGGAAAGTTCCATGACATGGCATTCCACCTCTGTGGTCAACAACGGCAGGGATATACCTGAGAAAGAAAGGAAGAGAGATGGTCACATCATGCAGCAATATTCCCTGTGCTGCCTCCTCAGATCAAACAATAGGAAGACGTGGATCTTTAGGAAATGAATCATGAATGTCTTTTATTGTTTGAACTTGGGCTCGGCATGGGCTGGCCTTTCATTCAAGTAATGTTGCAAAAGCAGATACTTACTCTCCAGTAGCCTCCAGCTCACAGATTTCGAAGAAGACCAACAAGTCATACTTGCCCTGGCACTGTCCTGCAGTGGGTCGGTTCATGGTGTTTAACTTGGTAGCTGGTACTGTTAAAAACAATATACTATTAGACTAGGCCACTGGGAGAAGCCTTGAGTGTGAACCCAAACTTCGTAATTAGTTCTACAATAAACTTGCAGCATTATGTGTTCCAAAACCTGGCGCAGTGTCAAATGGCGGATATCTAACGTATTAGCATTTTTCAAACTTCAGTTTGTGTCAGATCCAAACATCATCATGCAATAAATATTTTTTCAAGGTGTAAACAACAGGACATGGCAACGCAGGTGAAGAAAAGAAACAATGAAAAAAATATGCCTGGAGGACAGGCTATACCTGGGGATAGGACACAGCTGGGGGGCAGGATAGACCTGGGGGACAGGACACAGCTGGGGTACAGGATAGACCTGGGGGACAGGACACAACTGGGGGACAGGATAAACCTGGGGAACAGGACTGACCTGGGGGACAGGACTGACCTGGGGGACCGGATGGACCTGGGGGACCAGATACACCTGGGGGACAGAACTGACCTGGGGGACAGGACTGACCTGGGGGACCGGATACACCTGGGGACAAAATAGACCTGGGGGACAGGATACACCCGGGCGACAGGATAGACCTGGGGTATCAGATACACCTGGGGGACTGGATACACCTGGGGGACAGGACTGATCTGGGGACTGGATATACCTGAAATTACAGGGCACACCTGAAAGTCACTGCACATTTCATAGAACAGGGCACACAACTGTCAAAGCAACCCATATTCATACGGCTTTGTGTTAATGTGTAAATGTGAGCAATATGAGAATCATGAGAATGATTTGTCACTTGGCAGAGCCTCTTCCATGTTTTTCTAGTTGTGTTGGTGCTGCTACTATGTGAATCCTTTTTACAGGGTCTCCTTTCTTCTATCAGAGATGCTGGGTTTACTGGGTTACAGTTCAAAGGATGTCTGAACCATTACGTCCTAAGACTGTGGACAGCAATACAGACTCTTATGGCTTCAGCATTGTTCAAAATGACAAATTTATCCACAACAACATATTGACTATATCAAATTTCAGAAGTTGCCCTAAAATGGGTGAAGAAATGTAGGAGGAAAATGGTAAACAGTTACAATGGAGCCAGAGTAAATCAGCAAGCTTTAAAGTTAAAAACAAAAATAGTGAAAATGTGAAAGCAAATGGAAATAGATTTAATCTTGTCTATACTTAAGGTTGTCCTTAGATGTTTAATTTAGGCATTAAGGGCTAAATTCCAGTAATAAAGCTATTCCTGACATCTGAGCGGTTTTACTTGTGATTTTTTTTTTGTATTTGTGTTGAGAATGATAGTAATTAGCTGGCCCAAGGAGACAGACTTTTTCCTGGACTATCTGACAGTTTTCAGATTAAATGCACTGGGCTGAAAGAGATGCAAGCTAGAAGGTAAGCTTTCCTTTGACAATTCTGCCTTGAAAAATCTGCTTGAGATTAAATTAAAAACTCAATCTCCTAAATGAAATAAACACACAAAGTAACAAAACACTGCAGACATGCAGAGGGGAATTATGGCTAAAGATACAGAGCACACTGCAACAACAGAAATGGGCCAAGTGTGTGTTGTCTTAAAAAATGCAACGGTTCATAAAATAGAACAATTATCTTGTATTGTAAACCAGATGGGAATACCAAACCCAGTCTCACCTCTTTCGATATACTTCTAAAGGGAAAGATTGACATGATCTCATTGCCAATTAATCTTTGCTCTTCCATTTCCAACTGGGGCCTTGTGGAATTTAACCCTTGGTTCTCGACCGAGGCTTTTCCACATTAAAATTTAAATGAAGATTCCACAACATTGGCATCAGACTGTCATATCATCAAAGCTACCTGACAGCTCCACCAATTTTCAATTTAGTGAAATATTGCGCACACTTGTCCACTTTTGTTTATATTGCTGAGCCAAGTCACAAGGAGACAGGGCTAAATAATGACACACGACTGTCACTCATGGAAAGTGGCTTTGAATTGGGTACGACACCATAAGCAGCAAAGAGATATGGCGATAATTACTCATAGTCCAGTCTCTGGGAGCAGGTAATAGATTTCTGCATCAGGAAGGATGCAGGAGATAAGCTAATGATGTTCCACTGGCATCACATTAATTTTCATTTAGAACCCCAGTAATGAGGCTTTAGGGGATGGATAAATATGTAACCAAGTGGAAAAAGCCAAGACAGCTGCAGAGTCTTGATACAATGTCATACTGTCCTGGGGGAAACCATCCAATTGTATGATGTGGGGGAAGAAGAATTGCCCAAGCACATTTGGGAGGTACATTTCACAATCAAACACAGATTGAGAGAAATTACTCAATTATATGCAGAGTGCAGAGGAGAAACAAATATCTACCTGTATAGGGACGGGAAGGTGCTTATTTGAAGCAGGGATTAAAGTATCAAATGTATGGAAATTGAAAGATGAATTGTCTACTTCTGTAAGAATTTATTGGTGAGGGTGAAGTGTTGACTGAGGACTAGGAAACTCCTTAACAAAATGCATGGTAGGCTTTGGAAGTGAAATGTCCAGTTGTAATAGGAGTGGGATTGAAGCAACCCAATGGGTTGGTCGGGTTGAAATATCCAGCCCTATGGGTGTTATACCAATTGTTTGGGGACTGGAAGATGAATCAGCCGATTACATGGGGAGCTGAAAGCAGTGAAGTATCCAATGAAACAAACTTTCCACTAGAATTCAGGATTACGAACCATGCATCTGGGCTTTCCTGACAGCACAACCAGGGGAAGAAGGAAAGGGTAAGGGGTCATGGACGTTGTCCTCGGAGAGGTAGGAAGTAGCGACGCTAGCCGCAGACATGGCGTGCATGGACAGCGAGTCCAGGAATGGGAGATTCAACCCATCGGGCATCAGGTGCTTAATCAAAACAATTGCTTTCTCATTCTCTGCCATGTGTGAGAGATGAAGGACAAAAAGAAAACAATAGAAATATGAGAATCACATGGGTTCTGACAAGGAGAGGATAACACATTAATTAATGAAGTATATTGAGAAATAGGTACAACAAATTAAAACACTAAAGCATGAAGCTTCAAGTACCTCGACCTATCTCAGTGTAAAAGGAATTTCTCATCAAACACAAATCCCCAGCTTTGCACCAGACATGAAAATAGTTATTTTCACATCTGGAACAGGTGAACATACCTCCACCTATCCCAGTAACATCTGGATGAAGAACAATTATTCACTAGCTGGTAGGTCAGTAACCAGAGTCCGCATCATTAAGATAATTCACAAAAGAATCAAAGCGGCAATAAGGAAAATTTTCTTTAAGCTGTTACAATCTGCAATGCACTGTCTGAAAGGGCTATATTCTTAAAAGTCAGACAAAAATGGAAAAAGGTCAAGGTCTGACACCAATTTGATAGATCTTTCAAAGATCTAGGTCTGATACAATGGGTGGAATGGTCTCTTCTGAGCTCCATGATCCTAAGACATTATCTATAAATAAGAAAGTGAGACACTGATTATTCCCACAAGTGACCAGGAGCTGAGGACCTCTTTCCTGAGGCATTTCTGTCATACACTGCAAGCCACTACAGATTAAGGTTGGTTGCATTCTGACTGGTCCTTTCATTAAAAAAAATTCTTCACTGCTACAAATGTGTTCTGAGCTCTTTGAGAATAAAGGAACCCATTACATAGTAAGAGTTCCAAGTTTAAGGACTGTACCTTATCAAGTATCTATGTATCTGTGAGTCTAGTGTGAGGGAACATCAGTGTGCATTTGGCTATGCTTTATTTGACCAACTCTAATTAAATAATTGCAGCATTTGAAAAAAAATTATATATAAACACACTTCTTTATTGTTGGTTGAACATGTATCCTAAAGATGGGGCAGAGACAGGAGGAAGTGGAACAATGACCATCAGGGGAGCTGATGATGCTGAGGTACATGAAGACCAAGGTGAGTGGAATTTCAAGAGCCTGCAGTTGATTGTTATTGTACAAGTGAGATACAGAGATTGACATTAAACACTGGCACCAAGATAACGTAGAGAACTTGAGAATAATGGTTAAGCCAGGTCGATGTAGACAGACTCAGGCAGTTTCTGGAGTCAATTACCACTGCCAGTAAAATATGGACTGTTGTACTTCCCTACGCATTAGCCCATGCAACATATACCACAAAGATTAGGTTCTTGTTGAGAAAGTTTATTAACAACACTAATTACTTACACTGTAGTAGTATCTCAGACTTAGCCCAGGTTCGATGCTTGTTGACTATTACTGTGATTACTGCTGCTGTTCCAACAAGAATGGCTATTGACATTGAAATGGGTAGTTTATACTGGAACATCAAAAGTCATGGTGCCACCTGTCTTAAAGATACATTGCCTGTCTCCTCTGGAATTTATGCAATAATACAGTAGTGACAATAGCTATCAGGTTAGTTTAGAGGGGTTGGGAATAAAATTATCTACTCATATAACGTGGGAGATAAGGATGGTGAGGTGGGTGGAGGAACTGTAATATTCTGAAATGTCTAATGTTTCCTTTTGATATTATTAAGAAACTGTATGCCTGTTTCTGAAAGTTCTGACACGTAGAAACTCATCTACGAATTCAAATACATCCTGTTGAATACAAACCGTTCTCTGCATGCTCGTTTTCATGTTTCCCCTCCTGTCCTGAAGGCTCTTGCTTTGGTTTAATGTCACTGGTACCAGTTGCTTTCACATGACTCTAGCACCTAGCTATTTTTTGGCAACAGATCAGAGACAGGATGAGAGATGTTCCCAGCCTGTGCAGTTTTATACCATCCCTATTCAGTGAGTCCCTGTGCAAGGTCCATGGATTATCTTAATGTGGCTTCAGAGGTTGTGGTGATTTTATTTGTCTATTGCAACGACATGGCAACAAAATGCATCCCAACTAGGAAGGGCAAGGCCTGCTTGAGCTGGGTCCCCGGCTCCTCATTTCCTTAATGCGCGAGAGTTGGTGGTGCCCCTTTTATAAAGTTGAATGTTGTGCTTGGTGACAGTGTCATGCAGGAGAAACGGAAAGGCAATTGGGCTGGCGGTGGGTTGGTGAGAGGAAGGGGGTGTGATTGGGCTAGTATTGAGTAGTTGGGGAGAGCATTCCCATTCGTCTTGGCATCAGGGTGGCAATTACTGATTGGCTCTTCAAGCATGTTGGACCAATCCTGGCACCCGCTCCAGCTGATCACCAGCTACTTTCAGCAAAGGAATGAAGATTGGATTTCTGCCTCTCATTTACTGCATTAGGTGGCCACTCACAATCTCTGGTAGACCACCTAGAGCAATGATGACGTAAGCATTGTAGACATGGATTAGGCGAGGCACGTTATATCTCAAGATTACTACTTCGTTTCCTATGAACTTCTACTCCTCCATATGGCTATGATGGACAGTTGGATACTTATACATACAGCAATAAAGCACTAACTGATTTTAATCCTCTCACCTGGTTTAGATAGGGGCATCACGCGAGGGAACTGTCGGCGAGATGGCCTCAGGGGGCTAGGAAAAGGACAGAAAAGAGCAGGTGAATTCCATCTAGGACACATTGTGGGGAAATCTTTTACTCAAAAACAGATCACTGAGCCAAGACTTTATCTGCCTGTACCCTTAACAAGGATACATTTCTGGATCGCTCATTTGGAGAGATTCCCATTTCAGTTGAGAGGTGTGGAATCTGACATTGAGTAAATGCATTACTTTTTGCTTTACTTCCTTTCAGGGTAGGTGGGCCTCATTCGCAAGGCCAGAATTTATTGCCATTCCCTACTTACCTTTGAATCGAGTGGCTAGCTGGACCATGTCAGAAAGCAGTTAAGAACCAATCGTATTGCTGTGGGTCTGGAGTTACATGTAACCCAGACTGGGTGAGGATGGCAGGTTTTCTTTCCCAAGGACATCAGTGAACTAGATGGGGTTTTTACAACAAAAGGTGATAGTTCACACTGGTACCAACACTGAGACTAGTTTTATATTCCAGATTTATTCTCTCAGTTTATATTGCACTGACTGCTGTGGTGGGATGTGAACCTGTGTCCTCAGAGGCTGGACTTCTGGATTACCAGTCCAGTGACATTACCGCGGTACCACTGGAGCCACAACTTCACTGGGAAGAAGAGGAATGGGAGGAGTGGGGAGGTGGGCATGCCAACAATACTGTTGCTAACTGATCCCCTTTTCCAGGAACAGGACAGGCTTTGCAGAGATCTCTTTCGTCTCTGAGCTTCACAATGTGCAGGAGATCTGTCTTGCCCAGATATCTACCTCCAAATTTCCTTTGATTATCAAGCAATCAAAGAGCAGATATCCCAAATAGAAGGGTTTAAGATGTGATTATCCCTTTCTTTGGCTGTTCTGTAGGCACACAATGTTGTTAGGAGGCATGGCTAGCCCATCAGCACAGCTACCAAAGGGCAACATTGGTAGGTCAGTTGTCAAATCTGGTTTACACTGAACAGATAGTGAGAGGGAAAAGGAGCAGGAGAAACAAAAGTAGCTTTTCTGTCTGAAATTTCTTCATCTCAGAATGGGTTGGAATGCCATTTCAGGGACCCACTTTTAGCTATGCATGAGTGACTCAGGTTTAGAGTCAAAAGGATTTGGTTGTCTTTCTAATGGGGAAATGTTTGGCCTTAACTTAGCAAACGTGGTTGCCATTAAGTCAGAAGGTATCTATGGTTGGAATAATGGTACTAATTATGTTGCAATGTTGTACAGTTTATTTTCCACCGTACTTAAGTTAGTTTCTCTGCAAACACATTGTTCTCCAGTGGTACAGTACTGTGTGGGGTGGGGGAGGTAGTGTTGTTGGTAGTGGTTGTTACTTGCTCTCTCTATGACACACCAAGTTAACGCCCCGCTGCGTCGAGCAGTTCACCGTCAGGATGTGCTGGATTTATCTTGAGACAAAGCTCTTTTCTTTCACTGATCCCAACCTGTGAGTTACTTCAGTTAAGCAGTAAAGTCTGGGTGCTAGGTCATACCTTGCTGATAGATAGTGCAAGCATAGGGTTGGGGAAACGGCATGGAGGGGGATACACATCAGGACCCAATAACCTGGCTCCAGGACTGTAAGGGACCACTGTGCTCAGGTTGGGATGGGGAATCTACGCTTGGGTTGGGAGACAAGGTGAGGCTAGGAACAGCATTTTATACTTTGTCTCCATTGGACGCTGTGCTCTTTATTGGGTTTGCATGTAGACCCCTTTTTCTGATGTTACATTGATAAAACCGGGAGTTTCTCTTAATTCAGATCCACTGCACCCACCACAGTAATAAGGGATAAAGGTGAGAATAGACCTCTGATAGCTTTCCACAGAGTGAAGAGTGAGACATTGGTGCTGAGCTTCAAACAAAACAAAGGAGTATTGTTCTTGAAGACAATGAGATACATTGGAACATCTACCTGATGAGGTCCTTGCAGAGTGGTGGGAACGGATGCTGCTGATAGTGCCCAAACACCTCAAAGACAATGGGCTGAGTCTTAATATACTCTATGAAGGATTTGGTTACTTCGACTGCAATCTGTAAACAAAAGTACAGCTCTCACAACATATGGTTTATAACGTACATGTTTGTTTAATTGAGTTTTCAAGCGATGCTTGATAGCACTATTCATAGAATCATAGAATGTAGAAGCAGGCCATTCAGCCCATCAAGTCCACACTGATCCTCCAAAGAGCACCCCACCCCCCCCACCCTATCCCAATAACTCTGCATTTCCCATGGATAACCCACCTAGCCTACATATCCCTGGACACTATGGGGAAATTTAACCTGACCAATCCACCTAACATGCACATGTTTGGATTGTAGGAGGTAACCAGAGTACCCAAAGGAAACCCATGCAGACATGGGCAGTACATGCAAACTTCACACAGACAGTCACCTGAGGGTGGAATTGAACTCAGGACCTTGGCACTCTAAGGCAGCAGGGCTAACCACTGAGCCACCAAGCCAAACATTAATGACACCTTCCATTACTTCACTGATGATTGAGAGTAGACTGATGGAAGGGTAATTGAATGAGTTTGATTTGTCTTGATTTTTGTGTACTTATCTGGACATTTCTGGGCAATTTTCCATGTTGTCAGGTAGATACCAGTGTTGTAGTTGTACTGGGACATCTTGGCTATGAGAGTAGCAGGTTCTGGAGCACAAGTCTTCAGTACAATTGCCAGAATGTTGTCAGGCCCCATAGCCTTTGCAGTATCCAGTGCCTCCAACTGTTTCTTGATATCACGTGGAATAAATCAAATTGGCTGAAGACTGACATCTGTGATACTGGGGACCAGTGGAATAGGCCAAGATGGATCATCCATTTGGCACTTCTGGCTGAAGATGCAGTGAACGCTCCAGCCTTATCTTCTACACTGATATGTTTGGATCTTCCATCATTGAGGATGGGGATATTTGTGGACCCTCTTCCTCCAGTGAGTTGTTTAATTGTCCACCACCATTCACAACTGGATGTGGCAGGACTGCAGAGCTTAGATCTGATCCATTGGTTGTGGAATCACTTAGCTCTGTCTATCACTTGCTGCTTTTGCTGTCTGGCGTGCAAGTAGTCCTGTTGGGTGGCTTCACCAGGTTGAAACTTCATTTTTAGGTATGGCTGGTGCTGTTTCTGGCATGCCCTCCTATATTCTCCATTGAACCATTGTACAGTACTTGAAGGAATGTTGGGGTCTACATTGATATACCTGCACTGCATTGAAGGCTGCCCAAAGCTGAAGGAGCAACAGGTGGAACCTGGACTTGCCTGCAAGCATGAATAAGGAGTACTGTCTCCACCTTATCCTGTCATTTGGGTGTCACTGCTGTTGCCTAATACTATCTGAGTTGGTCTTCCTAACCTCCTCCTGGGAACAGACGCTATCTGCTTCATCTGCATCCCTTTTCTTCTATTCCACCATCAGCATCAGTCTTATGATGTCCTGTTTTACCTTCTGGAACTTTCCCCTCAAACTCCTGTACCTTGTTGTCACTCGTGACTCTTTTGGAAATCTCCTCAATGTAATTCTTTGACTATGCCTTCAGCCACTAGCCTCAGCTCTTCTCCAGTGAATCACATTTGCTTTTAGACAGATATTAATAGTGTTTTGGTCTAAGCACACAGTGCAATCGCCAATCTGTCAATAATATCATCAATGCAGACCCTCAAGCTCCCAGAAACTGGAAACCTTTCAAAAGATCTTTGCCACAGTCAGCAATTAGCCTGGGAATTCTAACTAGTTCTGTATGATCACAGTTTTATCTTCAATTGGGAGACTCACGTTTTGTACATGATAAAAACCAAGCGGGGGGCCTCGGCCTGTGTTTTTCAGTGGTTCTGTGGAAAAGGCTTCTTCTTGGCGATGAATGAAACTGGAAAGGAGAGAAAAACCACAATTTCACCTTCTTCGTCAGAGGTTCTTTTCACTTATATTATGAGCCCTGAACAGAAACATCAGGTGATTCAGAACGATACAGACTGTGGAACGGAGCTGGTCTAGAGTTATTCGACTGGATAACCTCCCGATATTGCAGAAATCCCAACAGGACCATTTCCCACCCTTCCTGTACCCAGTGTGCTCTACAGTAATTCCATCAGACGGTTCATTTTCAAGATTCAGTGCAGGGTTGGACTTGACCAAGGTCACTCAGAAACCAGCAACATTAACCAGCTTCCACAAAGGACGTGTGCAGCAAAGATATTTCAAAAGCTCCTGTACAAGTGACGATGAGTGGATTTAACATGGTTTCCATAGCTACAGTGATATATACATTAATAACATAGCCAGTATAGTCAGGTAAATTGATCTACATAGCACAAATATTAAACAATCATGCTTTTGGGCAATTTTTCACAGATATATCTCTGATCCCATTGACATGGCAATGAGGAGATGGAACCTTCCAGAATGAAAAATCAGCAAAGCTGGCGAATGTATACTTGAAAATGGAGCTCCACTATGAGCAGTACATTCATTTCCCAGTATTACTGCATTTTCCTTCTGGAATGGTCTCTACAGTTCTTTAAAGTACGGAGTCCAGCGTGAGTTCTATAGGCATGGCAATGGGTGAATATTGCACGGATAATAGGATGGTAGTAGGTGACTTACTTGAACTGACAGAAGATGTCAGCATATTCAGCTGAGATACTTGAGGCCTGTAGAACGGTCACCCTAAAAGTGAAGTTGCTGCCGATTTTGAGATGTTCTACGATTCCATCCATCTGTGTGTCTACTGGTGACTTCACTGGACTATCAGGCTCCTCCTGGGTCGCTGCAGAATGCAAGAAAGGAAATTAATGGGCACTTCATTTGTCCCCCAAAGGCAGAGACACATTTAAGTTTCAGGGAGGGTCGGACTGAGTTTAAATGATTAATTAATGAAGAAGATTGAGGCTTCGTACCTGCATTCTGCTCTTCAGTATTTTGGTGAGTCTTAAATCAGGCCCAGAAAGACCTTTCAATCCAGGGGCCATGGGGTCAGATTTAAATGGCATTGGGAAGTGAACACCATTTTAACCACAGGCCTGATGAGGCCTGTATTGCCTGAAACTCAGACGTGAAGCTAGTAGCAGCAAGGACCGGAGGTATAAGTGCCCATAGGAAGTTTGGGAAACTGTTTTTTAAATATTAGTTTTAAGAGTTTCTTATGGTCCAGAATGAGGGTGTGTACCACTTGACACTCCTGAACATACATTGCTCTGGGGTTCCTCTTGTGACTGTGATTGAGAACTTTTTGTCTCCCTCACTCCCATTCCTTATTTACACTGATGAAGCAGATTTTGTGGGCCCTCACCAATATTTGCCCTACCCCTGACATTTTGACTCTCTCCTCCCAGCTTTGACAAGTTCAAGACCTTGGTAGAAGTGAGAGTTAGTTGTTTGAAAGAGGTTGGCAAGATTTTGGATTTCAAGTTCACAACCAATTCTCTCTGAAAGTTATTGCTAAATATGTTTCCATTGTTCTTTCAGGTGGCGCAAACCAGGTCATACTGTTTCACTGAATAAAAAAAAATCATATCTTGTCATTAGGGTTGTAGCTACCTCTGTTTTAAAAGTCAGGAACTAATTGATAATGAAATGTTTTTGAAGAGCTTTGAAATGGGAGAGTGAGACAATCCCAGGGACACCTCTTGGTTTATATTGAGTCGACTGAAATTGGGGTAAATCTGTATTATTGTTTTATATGATCTCCAAAATCAAATTTACCCTCGAGGGATTGAAAAAGGGTTGAAACATGACACTGACTTTCCAATCCCTGGGATGTTGCATTTGTCACGATACTACAGCTTTAAGAGTTGTATTTTGTCCAGGTTTATTTTTTGAAGAGAGGCTTTAAGGTAGAGATGATGAGCAATCTATGCAGAACTACTAGTGTAAACAGTTTTTGAGGCCTTGGGTTTTTTTTTTAAAGCTGGAACAATAGCAGCAGCCTGAATGGGTGAGGTCAAGCTCCCGCAGAACCAGGATTTTCAGTTTTAGCTTTCAGCAGTTGTTGCTGGGATCTCAGATAACAAGGTGTAGAGCCGGATGAACACAGCAGGCCAAGCAGCATCAGAGGAGCAGGAAGGCTGACGTTTCAGGCCTAGACCCTACTTCAGGATTTGGATTTGGAAGCAGCAGGATTTGGAAGCTGCAGTATATCTCTCCCTGACACACTCTGTCAGAGTTTTCTCTTAGTGTTTTCCCGTTACTAGAGTTGCATGTGAGAGAATCTGTTTTTCTGAATTTGCCTTCTGCCAAGAGTGTGTTTATGGTATGTTACTATATTGGAACAGTTAATTAGTAATGGTTAATATACTTATTATTTTGTTAAGCATTTTGATAGAGTTACAGCTAAACCAATTCTTTTCTTTATTTTTTCTTTTGTTGTATTTTACCTGTAGTGTGTAAATAAAGTGTAATTTACTTAATGTTGAGTAGTTTGACCAATTGAATTCCATCTGGAATACAACACCTTAAATTTACCTTCAAAATAAGAAAAAGTTAGGGTCTAGGCTGCATTCCTAATATATTTTGAGGGGGTTTGGTCTGGTCCATAACACAACTGCTTATTCTGTCTCACTATTTTAACAGATTTATTAATCTCAACGACAGGATCAAGCAGCATCATTGTTTGAATGTTCTTAAAAAAAGTGCTTACTTCTCCAATTAGCTCCTGACCTCTGAAGCAAAGTATTTTCTATTCCAGTTATTCTTGTTAATTCTGATTCAAACTGGGTGAGACATGCAGTGCTATTGGTTTCAATGGGATAGTGCGTACCTGCGCAGGTATTGTTGTTGACCTCATCAGCTGAGGGGCCTGAATCACTTGATTGGCCCTGTCCTTCTACAATTCGCAGCTCCTCCTGCGATGTGCCAGAGCGAGACATTCCAGCTGTACAACAATCTGACTGAAACTAAACAGAGCGATCACAGGGTGAACTTCACACAGAAAGAGAACTGGTATAACTTCTTTCAAGTCCTTATTTGCATCTCTAGTTTGCTATCTCACTGAATGAACGCTATTACAACAGAATACATGGACAGCAGAAATACGAGCAGGAGTAGGCCATTCAGTCCCTCCCACCTGTTACACTATTCAATGACGTCATGTCTCAGTGTCTACTTTTACACCATTTTCCCACATCATTCCACATCTTCTGATATTTTTATTGGATAGTGATCCATCAAACACAATCTTAAACATACTCAATTACTGAGCCTCCATAGGTGCCCCAAGTAGAGAATTCCAAAGATGCATCAATCTCTGAGTGAAGAAATTCTTCCTCATTTCAGTCATAAATATTGAGAAAAACCTCTTATTATGAAGCTGTCTCAGCTTCTAGGGCAACCTCCTTTCCACATCTACTCTGTGAAAATTTTTGAAGTATGTTTGAATGAGATCACGTCTCGCATTTCCAAATTCTAGAGAATATTGATCAGTCTACTTAATCTTTTCTCACAGGACAATCCTTTCCCAGGAGTTAATTTGGTGAATCCTAATTTTTTTTACAAAAAATGCATTCATGGGATATGGGCATCGCTGATGAGACCAGCAGTCATTGCCCAACCCTAATTGCCCATTGGGCAGTTAAGACTCAACATTATTGCTGTGGGTCTGGAATCACACGGAGGCCAGACCAGGTAAGGATGGCAGTTTCCCTCCCGAAAGGATATTATTGAACCAGATGAGTTTTTCCAACATTTGACAATAGTCTTGTGGTTATCATGAGACCCTTAATTCCAGAATTCTATATGTTTATACAAAAACGAAGGAACTCTTCAGTAAAACCAAAATAAACCAAAACATGATCTATCAAACCAGTTTCAATCTTGGATCTGACTTGTCCAATAATAACATCAACTGGGATCATAACACTCCCATATATTTGTGGCCTGCTTTCTGTAGATTTAAAACCTTAGTTTCTGATCAAACTATGTCACTCAATCAAACTTAATTCTATTATACAATGGTCACTCTTTCTTAAAGGCTTATTTACAACAAGAATACGAACTATACCTTTTTGCATTGCACAATACTTTATCTAAATAGTCTATTTTGTTTGTTCCTAAGTGCATTGTTTTAGAAAGCCATTCTGCATGTATTCCAAAAATTTATCCTCTATGACATAAGAGCTAATTGGTTCACCCAGTCTAAATATAGATTGAAATACGCCAAGATTACTGTGTTACCCTTGTTTCATGCACCTCTAATTTCCTGATTTCTACTTTTTACATTACCACCACTGTTTGGGACTTAAATCAAGTCCCTCCAAAGTTTTCTGCCACTTACTGTTCTTTAGTTCCACCCAAACTGATTCTACATCTTGAATTTTAGAACAAAAGTCACATTTCAATACACTACTAATGCCCTCATTAATTAAGCAATTTACTCCATCACCATCCTCCCCCCCCCGCCCTGGCTTCCTGTCGTTCTGAACGTTGTGTGCCCTTGGGTATTCAGATCCCATCTTTTGTTTCTTGTGTTGGATATCAGGTCACATGCATATGAATTTCAGTTTGAGCTGAAAATCATCTGTTTTATTGAAAACACTCCCAACATTCAGATACAGAGACTTCCATTTTTTTCACTGTTTTATAAACTCTACCCCATCTGAGGCATACTCTCAAGTTTGCAATTATTGGCTTTCTTGCCATGCTCTGAATATCGTTACCTTTACTGCTACCTTAATCGATTTAGTTGTCATTTCTTTCCAGCTTACTCAATTTTTTCCCTATGGATCCCTTGCCCACTTTATTATTTTTCTCTATTCATTTGCTGGATGTGGGTGTCAATGGCTGGCCAGCATTTCTTGCCCATCCCTAATTGCCCTTGAGAAGGTGGTGGTGAGCTGCTTTCTTGAACCACTGCAGTCCTCCTGCTGTGGGTTGACCCACAATGCTATTGGGGAGGGAATTCCAGGATTTTGACCTAACGACAATGAAGGAACAGCGATATACTTCCAAGTCAGGATGGTGAGTGACTTGGTGGGGAACTTGGAGGTGGTGGTGTTCCCATATGTCTGATGCCCTTATCCTTCTAGATGGAAGTGGTCGTGGGTTTGGAAAGTGCTGTCTGAGGATCTTGAGTTAGACATTCTGTATTCTTTAGTTATACAACTCACCAGAATACAGGTCCCAGCATATTAGAGGTGAAATCCATTTCAATATTTCAGTCTTGTGCATTTTCCCAGAGTCCCATCAGCCCAAATGCCCTCAGCGTATGAAACACAAATCAAGTTTGTGTGAGTATATATAATTTTAGTAAACTGCTGATTCCTTCCAACTCTATTTTCTAGTGAGCACTTTTGAACAGGGTTCAATAGGTGCCTACGGGAAAGCCAACACTGCCATGATCAATACCTTTTCAAAATGCTGATCATCAAAGGAGATCTTGGCTGTTCCTGATTGTCGAACCCCGGAACCATAATCTGGAGCTTCCTCGTCAGCTACAAATGGACACAATGAAAGAATATTATGCAACAAAATACAGTGTGCAGATGAATTTCCCTTTGCTACAAAATCCTGATTTATCAGACAATCCATATAGGGAGGTAGCAGAATCTGAAATGACAAAAGTGGACTATTCGGCCCACTGTCCCTGTGCTAGCTCATTGAAAGGTCTGTCTAATTAATTTCCCATTTCTCCCTCTTGCTGTTTGCTCCACCACAGAATTATTCCTGTTCAATTGGCATTCATTTGTTCTGTCTATCAAATAAAGGACTGTGTCTGACTCACTGCCCCTGCCAGGCCCACAGTATGTTTGTACAGATGTTTGTACTTACCGGAAATGGCCTGGACAGCGACACGTAGAAATCCTTTGACCTCTCCCTTCTCACTGACTATTGCCACACGATGTACCAGCGGCACTGGGTACAGCAAGTTACTGAGATAAACGAATGCTCTGGAAAAAAAATGAACACAAAACATATCAGCCAATCCATCAACATCACCTTCATGCCATAGGTGGTTCTAAACTTCCTCACTGGCTCAGGGACTTCACAGTTGGGTCTGTTAAAAAACATGGCAGTGGCAGATTATTTCTTTAGCTTGCAGCTAGAATGGGGAAAGCCAAGAGTTTTTTTAATAGCAGTGCCCCTTCCAATGGCATTGTGAGAGAGAGAGAGGATGCTTGGAAAATTGGAATGGATAAAGGTTTGGATTTGATCTTTGTATTTCTCACTGTTTTGAAGCAAACAACTATGTGGTGCTGGTTTCAGTGTTTCTCCACTTCAGTGGTTTTTATCATTAGATGTCACTCATAAATCAACAGCAGAAAAATAAGCTTGATTGGGCAAACGCTTTTTTCTTATGTACCTTGTGTGAGAATCGAGGACCAAAGGGCATAATCTCAGGGGTTGCACATTTAAGAAACAGATGAGGAGGAATTTCTTCTCTCAGATGTTGAGAGTCTATGTATTCGTTCCCGCAGAGGGTTGTTGAGGTTGGATGGTTAAGTATTTTCAAGGCTAAAATAGATTTTTAAACTGTAAGGAATCAACGGTAATGGGGAAAAGGCAGGACAGTGGAGTTGAGGATTATTAGATCAGCCATGATCTCATTGAATGGCAGGCAGACTCGAGGGACTGAATGGCCTATTTCTGCTCCTGTGCCTCATGGTTTTATGTCAAGCTCATATGTTTTTGGAATTATGGGCAGATTGTATTACTGGTTCCAGTATCTCTGCTGTTTCAGCTAGACTGGCTAGTATCACCAGTTTTTGGTCAGGTTGTAGAACTGACCATTGTGTTCAATAACGTCTTCCCACTGCCTGGACGTAAGCTGCAAACTGAGGAATCTTCCTTTCATTTCAATTGTACCACTTAGTAGACCATTGGTATTCCTGGGTGGCTCCTAACTTGTCAAGCCTGTTGAAGGATGCCTAGTGGCAAATTGATGGACATTGAAAGGGGATGAAGGTGAATCCAGAAATGTGAATGTGAACCAGGACAGTCAGCTGTGACTGCTTCAATTCTCTGGAGTCCCACATCACAGAATATTGCTACATATTTATCAGTTGGGTCATATTGTGACTGGATCTATTTGTAATAATTCTCACATCAGATAGTCAAAGATAATAATTGGCATAGTATTTTGTAAAATGGGGCTTATGTTTCGTGGTAAGAATCTAAGTACTGCTGCTGGAAAGGCTAACAACAGGCCAACGAAACAATCACTAGAACCTAGTTCTTTCTCCATTCAGCATTTTTCACCAAATTACACTGTGCTGAGCCTTATCCATCCAGTCAAGGTAATGCATAAATTGAGACCAGTTAAAGGTATAACATCTAACTTGATCACAGATTATCATTGGGATGAGATCCAGCAAATGTAATGGCTCTTGTGGCAGCTACAATTTTAGTTTCGGAACTTGCACGTTCAGTGCTGTGGGACACTCAAATTTATTGGAAGCATTTGTGCAAATTTTCAATGTTCTCAGCCTCTAGAAAAGCTTCAAAATCCTCTATCATCTTCTTTCTGCTCTTTTGTTGATGTGTACCATTTTAGTGAAAATGATATGGGTTGGAAGGTTGTTGCAAACACAATAACTTGTGGGTAACTAATAATATCCATAAGGACTTCAAAGGGATCAGTGCCACACCTCAACAAGGAAACTAGCTCACAGGATATGACAGCCACAGACTTAGGAAAGTGACCTATAAAGGGCAACTCAGCACTTTTTATACATCTGGTATAAAACAAAGTAAAAAATCTTGCATTTTCTGGCTCAGGTTGTCTTAAAGTGCCTTAGAGTGAATTATTTTTGAAGTGAATTCATCATTGTGATATAGAATGTACCACAAATAGCAATGAGATACCAAAAGTGATTTTGCGGTGAATTTGATTGAGGGTCAAAAGAGATACCCTGTTCAAAATAGTGCCTCGGATTGTTTATGTCCAGCCAAGAGTAGGCAGGGCTGATTTAGTATTTCATTAGAAAGGTGGACAGTACAGAATTCCCTTAGCACTGCAGTGGTAGCCTGGAATCCACTTCTTTTGTGAAGCTTGTATGCTTAAAAGGACAGAACTGCGGCCGACGCATAATCAAGGATGCTTGATTCTCATTTGAGAACTGGGGGATAAACAACCAAAATCAGCAGCTGAGTGGGTTTGTCATGGTTACCCACGTCTCAAAGAGGAGGTAAAAAACCCCACCAATTTTGGAGTGGTAATCCATGCTTTGAGGTGGAATTCCGCTGGGATGGCCTCCAATTCTACCTCACACCTAAACCAAAGCCTAGGATCATGGGTCATAAGATCATAAAAAATAAGAGCAGGAGTAGGCCACTTGGTCCACTTAGCCTACTCCATTATTTAATAAGATCAAGGCTGACCTGATTATACCTTAATCCGCTTTCTTGCCTGTCCCAAACCATAATCATTGAGTCCCTTGTCGATCCAGATGTGTTCTAACTCATCCTGGAATAAATTCAATAACCCAGCCTCCATTGCTGTCTGGGCAAGACATTTCTAAAGATCAACAACCCTCTGAGAGATTAAATTTCTCCACAAATTAGTCTTAAATTGGAGACTCCTTATTTTGAAACTACTCCCAGTTCTAGATTCCCAATGAGAGAAACAACCTCCCAGTATCTCCACCGCTAAGCCCCCTTAAAATTGTACGTTTAAATAAAATCACTCCTTTCCTTCTAAACTCCAGTAAGTGTAGGTCTAATGTGCTTAGTCTTTCCTCATAAGACAACTCTTCATCCTAGGAAAAACCTGTTGAACTACCTCAAATGTAAGTATATCCTTTCTTAGAGAGGGAGACAAAACTACATAAAGTATTCTAGGTGTAGTTTCATCATTTTCGTGCACAGTACTTCCCTATCTTGTAACAAAAGTCTACATTCTATTTGCTTCTCAATTAGTTGGTGTACCTGCGACTAATGTTCTGTGGTTCAAGGACAAGGACACCCAGATGCCTCTGTACCATAACATTCTGCAGTCTCTTTCCATTTAAATAATATTTTGCTGTTGTATTCTTCCTACAAAGTGAACAACCTCTCATTTCTCACAATACATCCCAAATGCCAAACTTTTGCCCACTCACAATACATATCCATAGCCCCTCACAGACTCTTTGTTTCTTCCTCACAATTTGCTTTCCTATCAACTTTTGTACCATCAACAACGTTGCTTTCCATACAGTCGGTCTCTTCACCCAAGTCATTAATATAGATTGTAAATAGTTGAGGCTTCAGGGTTGATCCCTTTGGTACTCTACTAGTTACAATTTGTTTATCTGGAAAATGACTCATTTATCCTGACTCTCAGTTGCCTGTTACTTTGTAAATTTTACATCTTTGTTAATATACCACCTTAACATCATGAGCTCCTATCTTCGGCAGTAACTTTTTATGTAGCACATTGTTAAATGCCTTTTGGAAAACTAAATACAAATTTACTGTTCCTCTGTATTCACTTTGCTTGTTACATCCTCAAACAACTATAATACATCTGTCAAATGTGATTTTCTTTTCACAAATCCATGTTGACTGCCGATTGCATTATGGTTTTCCAAGTACCCAGTTACTATCTTTTTAATAACAGATTTTAGCATTTTTCCAATGACAGACTTTAAATCAACTGGCCTTTAATTTCCTGCTTTCCGTCTTCCTCTTGAATTGTGATGTTATATTTCATACTCTCCAATTAGCAGGGACCTTTTTTGAATCTTGTGAATTTTAGAAAACTGGAACAAGTTCATCCACTGTCCTTGTAGCCAGTCTACTCCATAAGGACATTGTGGGTCTACATACAGCACATGGTCTGCAGAGGTTCAAGAAGGCAGCTCACCACCACCACCTTCCCAAGAGCAACTAGGGATGGGCAATAAATGCTGGCCTGCCAGCGATGCCTGCATCCCATGAGTGAATAAGAAAGTGACTTTACAAGCCTATGACACAGCCCATTAGATTCAGGAGACTTAGCAGGCTTCAGTTCCATTAGCCATCTGGTACTTTTCTCTTGAGTGATCATGACTGTTTTAAATTGCTCTTTACCTGGAGTCCCTGACTTTTCTATGATGATAATTTGGTATCTTCCACAGTGATGGCTCATTGACACTACTCTTTTGCTTTTTATCTTTTTGTAGAAGCTTTCACAGTCCATTTTTATATTGGTTGCTAGTTTTCTCATACTCAATTTCTCCCTTTAAAAATCAACCTTTGCTGATTTCTAAAATGTTCCACATCTTCTGGGCTATCATGAATCTCTGCAACACTGTATGTTGTTTCTTACAATTCAATACCATTCTTAGTTCCTTAATTAGCCAATACAGTGCATTCTTCTTGTAGAGTCTTTCCTCTTGAATGGAAAATAGTTTTTGTTGAGAGTTATGAAATATCTTCTTAAACGTCTGTCACTGCTACTCTACCATTTTACTTTCTAGCCTACTTTTCCTTTTCCGCTTTAAGCACCTTCTGACTCTTGTAATTTTTTTTGACTTAAGATTGACACGAGGTTCAGACCCAAATTTTTCTTCTCTAAAGTACAAAATTCTGCCATGATATGATCACTTTCACTGAGAAGATCCTTTGCTATGAGGTAACTTATTAATCATGTCTCATTGGACATTTCCAGACCTAATATAACCTATTGTCTAGTAGGTTCCAGAATATATTATTCGGAAAAGCTATACCTAATAGAGATACTGCCTTTATGGGTCAGTGCATTGAGTATAGGAGTTGGAGGTCATGTTGCGGCTGTCGAGGACATTGGTGAGGCCACTTTTGGAATACTGCTTTCAATTCTGGTCTCCCTGCTATAGGAAAGATGTCATTAAGCCTGAAAGGGTTAAGAAAAGATTTACAAGGATGTAGCCAGAGTTGCAGGGTTTGAGCCACAGGAAGAGGCTAAATAAGCTGGGGCTATTTTCCATGCAGCATCAGAGGCTGAGGG